ATGCACCTGGAGGTGGCACGGCCGGCAAGGCATTAGGTGAGAACGACGGAGACGGACCCAATGAGTCGGTCGACCCCCCACACGTTTGGCCACGCATGTGTGAAGTGGGTTTGTGTACCGCAACGAAGGGTTTTAACCTAGAGGGGTGCACGAACCATCGCCGCTTCCCCCATTTAATGCGCACGCACTGTGGTCGCAAAACTTCGACCACCTCCACAGGGCCCCGCCACGGCCGCACGAGCTTAGAGGAGGTAGCCAGTGGCACTTGGGGACAGTGCAGCCATGCCTTGTCCCCCGGCTTCCACTGTATCATGTGCGCCCGACCCAGCCTGAGGCGCTCATTCGCCTTTTGACGGAGGTCCGAGTTTAGCATTGCAGCATCCCGCGCCTCTGTTAATTTGGCCAGATTAAATTTGACGTGGTCAGCCAATTTAGTTTTCCCTTGCGGCTCGGGGATCTGCAGCTGGGCGCGAACAGGCGGGTCGGGTTCGCGACCGTACATGAGGTAAAAGGGGGAAAATCCCGTAGCTGCATGGGGTGCCATCCGGTATGCCGCCAAGACTCCTTGAATATGCAGGTCCCAGTCAGTCTGTGAGTTCGAGACCTGCTGTGACATCATTGACGTAATGGTGCGATGCAGGCGCTCGACCATCCCATCAGTTTGCGGGTGATACGGGGAGGTACGAATTTTCTTCGTGCCTAGGAGGTCACAGACTTGTTTGAGTAATTTACCGGAAAAATTTCTGCCCTGGTCGGTCAGCAGCCGTTCCGGAGCACCTTTGTCCAGGACGTATCCCTGAACAAAGGCCTCCACGATGGCTGCTGCCGACTGGTTGGCAAGGGGCCAGGCCATAGGCCAGCGTGTAAAATACTCGACACCAGTCAACAAATACCTATTGCCCCTGGGGGTGGCGGGAAATGGGTTAGACTCCCGCGCCGGCGGTTTCCGTTGCGCACACCGAGGGCATGATCCCAATAGATCCCCAACATCCCTCGTCATGCCAGGCCAAAAAAAATCAAGTTGTAGCAGTGCAAGAGTCTTTTGGGTCCCCAGGTGTAATAAGCGCTCATGCGCGGCCCACACCACCTTGCCTCGCAACCCAGAAGGGACCACCAGCCGATGTCGCTGGGATTTCCCGTCCCAATGCATCAGCAGACCTTGCACAATTTCCCATGCATCCGAATCACCCTTCACACGCTCAGCACCCCCGACGCGACGACGCCACCCGAGGAGGGAGGTATCCTCCATCTGGAGGCGCCCCCATTCAGTGACGGGCAACCCCAACAGGGAATCTCTTCCCTGTTGTTCGATCGAATTAGTAATTAATGTTTCGTCGTCGTCGGTGGCTGCCAAGACCGGAACCGATGCGTCCCCTGAAGGCCTGCAACGTCCCGACCCCAGGAGGCATGCACATTCCGAGGTGGTTGGCATGCGCGACAGAGCGTCCGCATTCGTATGGCGAACGCCCTTACGGTAGGTGGTTTCAAAATCAAAGTCCTGGAGAACCTCCAACCATCGAGACAACTGTCCCGATGGTTGTTGAACTCGCAGGGCATACTGTAGTGCCGCATGATCTGTGCGGACGGTGAAATGCCGACCGTACAGATATGGGCGATACTGTTGGATGAAATAGACAATTGCCAACAGTTCCCTACGGGTGACACAATCTTTGCTCCGCAGGAGACAACACCCGACTACCGTACGCGACTACCCGTTCCACGCCGTCAACCACCTGCGAAAGCACGCCCCCAATACCCGTGTTGCTCGCATCGGTGTCGAGCAAAAAGGGCTTAGAAAAATCGGGGTAAACCAAGGGAGGGGCTTTTACCAGGGCGTCCCGAAGGGAGCAGAAAGCAGCCTCCTTCTCTTGACCCCAGTGGAACCGAACCCCTTTAGATGTTAAAGCGTGCAGGGGTTTGGCAATTGTCGCAAAATCAGCGACGAACCGTCGGTAATACGACGCGAACCCAATGAAACTCCTGACCTCTCCCACCGAGGTGGGAGTCGGCCAGGAGCTGACACACTGCGTTTTGGCGGGATCGGTAGCAATACCTGAGCGTCCCACGATGTGCCCCAAATAACGCACCGAATCGCGCAACAAATGGCATTTTTGGGGTTTGAATTTCAAATTAGCAGCCCGCATTTTTAGGAAAACCGCCCGCAACCTCTGGAGATGTTCGTCAAAAGTTTTACCAAAGACGATAACGTCATCCAAATAAATGAGGCACGACTCCCATTGCAATCCAGCCAAAACCAATTCCATCAAACGCTGGAAAGTTGCCGGCGCTGAGTGTAAGCCCATCGGCAACCGGTTGAATTGGAACAGGCCGTGCGGTGTACGGAAAGCAGTTTTAGGCTTTGAATCATCGTCCAGAGGAAGCTGCCAGAATCCCGAAAGTAAATCGAGTGTGGAAAAGAATCGCGCTCCCGCCAAGGCGTCCAGCGATTCATCCATCCGAGGGAGCGGGTATGCGTCGGCAACCGAAATTTTGTTAAGGCGCCGAAAATTAACGCAAAACCGCAACGATCCGTCCTGCTTTTTAACCAGGACGATCGGCGCTCCCCAAGGGCTGGTGGAAGGAGAAATGATGTCGGCGGCCAACATGTCATCAATAGCCGATTTGACATGGTCCTTTTCGGCGGGACTCAACCAAAACGGATTTTGGCGAATTGGCGCGCTGTCACCCGTGTCAATATGGTGACGCAGCAGGTGAGTACAACCCAAATCGTATTTATTCCGACTAAAAACGTCGGAAAATTCCCGCAGTAGTGCTTTAAGTTGTTGACGCTCTGAATCTGACAGGTCCGTCGATCCCGCACAAAGCGCCTCGAGCCACCCTTCATCGCTGTCCGAATGCGGTCGCGGCGCAGGGACAACGCTGACGTGATTTGCGACGGTTTCCTCACATGGCACCGGCGTTGCGTGAGCAAGCACGGTTCCCTGTGGGACCACCACCGTCTGCGAGCCCACATTGAGGACCGCGATGAAGGGTTCACCGTCCCCTCTTACTATGGTCTGGGCCGGAAGTAAATGAGGTCCACTAACCCCGGCCCTAGACGGCCCCAGCAGAACCCCTTGGGCCGCAATACCCTTAGCGAAGGGTCGCCGAAGTTTCAAGGGAATCAACATTTGTGCCCCCGGAGGGACGCGCACCGTTCTCTCTACGAATGCCGGCACCGTCGCGAACGCCGTCCGAGTCGTAACGGGTGATGGCAAAAACGCCATGCGTCTGCCCGACGGGAGCTCAATGCATCCCTGGTCGATTAATATCCTAATCGGCATTTTGGCCAGGAAGTCCGTCCCCAGCAGGCACGGAACCGCCAGCGAGGAGGAAACAAAAATCGGCCCAGACAATTTAATTTCCCCAACACAAATTTGGGCCCGAATTTGTCCGATGATGCCAAGTGAGCCCCCGTTAGCCGCATAGAATGGTACGTTAACAGGCATCAAAGGACGGCTCTGGACAGGGAGAATATTGTATATTAACTCCGAAATAATGGTCGCCGATGCTCCCGTATCGACCAGGATGCGCACTTCAACCCCGTCGATGTGCCCCACAACGGCCGACGACCCCGACGATGCGGCTACCACACGATCGGCCAGCACGGACCACTGGCCGGGTTCGATATGAGTACCCAGAGTGGTGCGTGATGGTGCGATGGTGCGCGATATCGGCCCCCCTCTCGTTGCGGTGTTTGAGTGCGTGACGGGCGTGTGCGTGGGCCAAACATGTGGGGTGCCGCGACTCGCCGGGTTATGATGGTGGAGCTTGTGATGAGGCCCCTCGTCCCGTTGAGGTGTCGTCCCGCGCTGACGAGGAGAGCGGCACCCCGAGGCGACGTGGCCCCGGACGCCGCAGTTAAAACACCGCGGGAGCGCCGTCGGAGGTGACGGATGGTCGGAACGGCCCGACCCGTCCCGGCCCGACCGTGCTCCCGTCGCCTGTTGCCGTCGGTGGTCGACGGCGTAGAGCTCCTCCGTCGGAAGGGTGGCTGCAGCCACCGCACGCCCCGCCGATGCCCTGCTGGCTTTCCGCCGGAGCGACAGGAGGTTTGCGTGGAGGAGCCGCGCCGCCTGGAGCGATGTCATTTCCGCGTCCTCCTGCGCGACGACAGCGATGTCAAGGTCGTCTGCCAGGAGGAGGATTTTCTCCGTGACCATAGCATCCACGCCGTCGTCGTCCATACGAGGGAAGGCCGACTTAGCCATCGCCAGGAGGCTCGTCCGGTATGCTAGGGGCGACTCCTTCTCACCCCGCTTGCGGTCGTAAAATTGCTGTCGGCTTTCGGCTGATGGTCCATAGACCCCGCCCAGCAGCAGTAGCGCCATCGGTAACGTAGACCGCTTCTCTCTCGGCGCCGATGTGAGTGCGGCGAGCGCGTCGCCGTCGAGGAGCGCCGGCAGCGCGCAGAGAGCCTCCTCATCGGACCATTTCGCCATCTCCTGATGGGCGAGGAAACGTCGGCGAAACCCGGCCCAGTCTCCCTCCGCGCCGATGAACTCCTTCAGCGGGGGCAGTCTCTGATGAAGCGCAGCGGTTGTTGTAGACTCCCGCAGGCAGATGTCACCACCACTCAGCTGTGCGTCGGTGCGAACGGCCGATGGGATCGCCTGTCGCGGTTGTGATGACACACCCTCCGGCGGTGATGACGCTGCAGCTCCAGCGACGGCGATGTCGGAGTGGATGTTCAGGCTGGCCACGCCCTGAACAGCTGTAGCGTCGATGGCGGGAATTTCAAATTCGGACTGCTCCGAAATGGCGGGAAGGCGCCCTGGTCGTTGGCTCGCCTCGCCCCGTGTTGGATCACCGGCCCCCAATCGCGTGATGGTCTCCAGCGTGGCGGCAGCGGCATACAGCAGCTCCGCCAGCCTCCCGTGAGCCAGCCGTAACGCGTCTGACTGCGGCCCCTCTTCATTTCGATGCCCCGGTAAGGAGGCGTCAGGCCCCGGCTGCACCATGTCTTGTGGAGCCGTCTCGGGCTCGACGATCTCGGCAGTGTCTTCCTCCTGCGGTACTTTGGCCCGCGCTGTTTTCCGCGTGTCCATGTTCGAATTACTTCTGACACCAGTTGAAGTACCGGTGAAGACGCTTGACGCCGAGGTTGAGGCACACGTATATTTATTTCACAATACGACAGTGGGCATATACACACTCGAGGGGGTATCGGCCCCCTCACCCGTATAACTCGGGATACACCCCTAGCTAACTCTGTCCTAGCCCCGAATTCTCCACTAATGGGCTAGGGGAGGCTAACTGGCCCGACACTGGTAAGTCGGGCCCGGTACCCGGAGTTCCAGACCAGCTCTTACAAGAGCACCGGCTCTGGCTTTCGGGACCACGCCGCTGGCTCAGTCCTGTCCGGCTCTGAAAAGGACATCGAACTAGGGGAGTCCAGGGCTCTATCTAAGACGTCTTCAGTCTTCTTCCCTTAGCTTAAACATAACTGACTCGAGCCCTTTGAACATCCCCTTTTATACCCAACCCCTCCCTGAGGGGTGGGGCCCCGGGGGATCATAACGTTCGAACCAGCCCCCCCCAGGGTGTCTGGCTCGGACGTCTTAGAGGGCACCTCCTCGTGCACTTACGTAGCCCCGCCCACTGTGTTTGTTTTCCATAGGCTGCCATGCATAACGGGCCCTCTCTTTAACACCCCTACACTCTGATAAGGAGTTTGATACCCTGCTGTTGAACCTGGAGCATGCCACAAAGAGATGGGGACTTACCATCAGCCCCATAAAAACTAAGCACCTGCGGCATGATTGATGGGGCAGTTGTAGAGAAAGTGGATACATTTCCATTGCTGGGCAGTGTGGTTATGACCAGCTCCAGTTTGGCAGCAGAGGTATCCAAATCAGCTGCGTTAGTTTCCTGACCTATTGCTCCATACAAATCTTTGGGTGAGAATAGGGTTTCCCCTTTTTTTCTGGCAACAAAACAGGTGTTTAGATGTTAAAACACCAAACTGAAACTTTTTACAAGGAATCATGTCTGCATTAACCACAATACTTGTGGTCAGAATGCAACCAAAAAACACATTCTGATAATATATGCATTGTCTTTGAAACTGATTGGTCCACACTAGAGACAGCTTTTTTTTTAGCCTAGTCTCAACGGTGTTAGACCAGAGGACGCCAAAAGGCGTACAGCACAAAGACACGCACTATCAGAGTAATGAGAGCTCGGGGTGAGCAACTACATCATGGGACCTCCTTTGCCAGTACCAAAATATGAGAATCGGTTTTCCCCTTTTTTATCGCAACAAAACAGGTGTTTAGATGTTAAAAGACCAAACTGAAACCTTTTACAAGGAATCATGTCTGCATTAACCACAAAAGACCCAAATATGTGGGTCTTTTCTGCCACAGTTATACCCTCTTGTGTAAGCTTGCAAAATATGGAACCCTTTAAAGGAACATCTGTGTAATTTTTAAACATTCAGGCTGGCCTGCCTATGATCCATCAATCTAACCAATTTGGATTGTTTGAGGAGCTCACAGATACTTGAAAGATGGGGATACAGTGCCATCAGTGAGCTCCGGCAGGCAAAGCTGCGTTGGCTGGGTCATGTAGCCCGCATGCCCAAGCAACTTCTGTGTGGCCGGATAGAGGGGGCTACAGAAAAGATGGGCTGATGCAGTATAGGAGGATGTGGAGCTGCGTGGACTTGCGGATGACTGGTATAGGTGGTGTCAAGATCGGCCTCTGGAGGAGGCTCATGAAGGATACTACTGGGCAGTTGGAGGCAGTCACCCTCCAGCAACAACAGAGGGCAGAGGAACAACACTCATAACAATGAGCAAAGCACCGGGCAGATAGAACGCAGAAAACTGGCACTGGGGAACTCAGGTAACACTTCTGTGAGTAATCATAGTCCATCCATAACAGCTGGGTCTGTTTCGTGACCTGCCACCAAGCTTCGACATTTCAAGTGGCCTCAAGGTGTACTTAACGTGATACAAGAGCCATTTTGATGTCACCGCCAATAAGTGGTGAATGGCGGCTGTTGTTGTTGGGTGTTTTAGATATACGTTTAAGGTGGCATTGTGCATACCCCAAAACTTTGCCGTTCGCAGTGATTATGTTATTGATAGCAGTCGGCAAATCCCCATTCCACAAACTCAAAGGCAAAAACGGGAGTTTTGTTCTCGGTTTGTTATATGACTCCCCCTCCTTTTGTTTTGTTACCCTACATTAACTCAAACATGAAACAGGTATTTTTAAAAATGTAAAGTAGGATGAATAGGACTGTTAAATATAACTTGTACACTAAATGTATAGAATTCTGTGATTGAGTGAGTAGCATTGTGACCGTTTCCCCTGTCTACAGGTCACGTGACCGTGATGTCTCCCCCCACGAGTGAGCGGGACCTGGGGGCAGTAGCGGGCTCGGCTGGGGTTGCGGCACGGAGAGGGGGACCCGGGGGTGGCACAGCCCCTTCCCTGCTCTCTCTGCTGTCCCCTCAGGTGCCTTCACGTTTCTCTTTGTCTCCCTGTGTCTCCCCGTGCTTCCCTGTGTAAGTGTCTCCCTGTGTCTGTGTATCTCCATGTATCTCCGTGTCTGTGGAGGAGGCTCATGAAGGACGCTACTGGGCAGTTGGAGGCAGTCGCCTTCCAGCAACAATAGAGGGCAGAGGAGCGACGCTCACAACAACGAGCGGAGTGCCGGGTGGCTAAAGCACAGAAATTTGGTGCAGTAGGGGGCACAAGGGGGTGCATTAGCCAGTTATCTCAGTCAGGCAATCCATGGCACCTGGGTCTGTCCCGTGACCTGCCAGCGGGCATTTGACACCTCATGAGGCCTTAACGTGCATATAGCCTGGCACAAGCGCTGATGTGACGACATCACCTCCACTTCGTGGTGAATGGTGGTTGTTGTATATCTCCGTGTCTGTGTGTCTCCTCGTGTCTCTCTGTGGCTGTCACCCTGTGTCTGCGTGTCTTCATGTGTGTCTGTGTGTCTTCCAGCGTCTCCCTTTGTCTGCCTGTACCCACCCGAGTCTGGCTGTATCTGCCAGTGGTTGCCTGTACAGTAAGGCCTCGACATTTGTGAGGGTTAGATTTTTGTAAATGTAGATACTGTACTGTGTTTAAATGTGAATAAGTAATTTATTAAAAAAAAACTTTTTAAAACACGCTTTTATGAAATGTACTAGTAATGGCAGAACTCCACGACTCCAGGAAGTGGCCCCGAAGCTTGCAATAACGTAAGGGACCGTGGCCAATTACAGCCAACGTCAGTTGACCGTGGACAATTAGACCCAAGCCGAAACGTAACATGTAAAAAAGAATGTTTAAAAATATATATTTTTTATGATAGAAGAAAGTATTGTCATCAGTATGAGATAAGTATAGCAAGTTTTCAGTCGATACCACATTGGGAAGTGGGTTAAAATTGAGTTACAAGATTTGAGGATACAACAAAGACAATAACAATAGACAGAGTGAGTTAAAAGTAAGCGTGTAAAAGGGGGATTAGGTTCCCGAGTCTGACTGCACATATGGAAGAAAATGCAAATTTGTCATAACATTAATGCTCTACTGTACACATGAATAGCATCCATATGCTTAATAAAATTCTATAATACACATAGATAAGAACATAAATACTACAATACACATCAATACATTTTACTGTACATTTAGAAGTTTTATTTACCTTGGATGATGATGGGGTGTGATAATGATACTACTTTGACGATCATCGGTGCACTTGTCGCCACACTTTCCCTGATTGTTTTCTCGTTTTTATCTATAACTCCGACTGTTGACTCGTTTACCATGGCGGCCAACAGCAGACGCACGATCACCACGCGCAAGTCTCTCCAACTACTCCACTTTTTTCGCTAAACTTATCCCTGTTTTCTACCTTTCACTCTTGCCCTTTCTGCCTCGACTCGACTCTTAGACCCCATGATCAAAATAAAAACACACTACAAATCAGGCCTAAATAGCACATAAGTCAACTGCGCTTTAAGAGTAAAAGCTTGAGCATGTGTATGGCGGCACACGGGACACTACTGTACTGCGCAAGTACAGTACCCCTCTCCCATGATGTGAATAGTCGAAGGAAATGTGTGCGAATGTTAAACTGGTATGCAAATATTAAATTGCGAATAATTGAATCCGCCGAAACAAATCCGCGAAGTGAAGATGTTTGACTCGTATTTGGCTCTGGTTGTGTGCACGGCCCCCTTGTCCTCTCTCCCCTGCTCCCACCCCCACTGCAGGACCGCGAGCTGGACCTGGTGGTGCTAGACCACAGCTACGCGAGGCCCTGGAGCGCGCACCCGGACGCGGGGCACACACGCCCCCCTCGCCTCCTCTTCATGCGTAAACGCAGACTGCAGCAGCAACAGCAGGCGCTGTGAGTCGATTGCGGCGTGTGTGTGTGTTGTTTTGTGAATATAGCTCTCCGAGTTGTTCTCCATGTGTATATGTCACAATGTGCTTGACTCTATGAATGTATATGATTCTCTATGCGTGTGTATTTGATTCTCCATGGATATATATGGCTTTATTTTTGTGTGTGATTAACTTTGTACGTATGATTTTCTTTGGGTGTATATGGCTCTGTGTGGGTATGTGTATGCTTCCGTGTGAATGATTCCCCTTTGCCCAATAATTCTGGCCACCGGTCCATCGACTCAGGACTGTATGTGGAAGTTAGAGATGTTTAATTTAGACTCAGGTGCTTAGTGCTATTATATTTTGGAGTCGACATTGTAAATCACTGTGCAGGTGGTGGCGATCTTGCCTGTTTTACAAACGGTGAGACGACACAGTTTGAGAATGGTTTTGTTAACATTTTCAACTATTAAATTGGCGTGGTGCGAAGCCACACATATTGTCTCTTCAATCAATTTTATATGCTTCGGCATCAAGTTACCTCCTGCTAATCAGCAGTGTTTAGTAGGGAGCAAGTCTTCCATAAGACTCACCGCATTATGTCGGTCTTCCTGTCAAAGGTTGTGTCAGGTGACACCCAAAGGCAGGAAATGCCAGCATGCAGTAACAGCAGACCGGCTGGTGCAGTCCACAGCTGCCACGCTACACACACGGGAGCAGTATGCAACAGTGTTCGGGATCACTTGATGAATCTCTAGTAAGACTGCTGGTAGAGGCGCTTGTCGACGCCTCTGACCAATTATCTGGGGACAAGGCTCTCATTGTTGAGGTGACTTCTCACCACAAAGAAGAGGCATACACAGGCGTGGAGCCAACGCAAGCCTCATAGGGGTCTTCACCATATATACCATGCGGACGAAGACATCCTCACAGGGGTGACTGAGAAGTTCTGCCCTCATCAGATACGGAGGCCCCGATGATCCTGACCAAACAGCTGAAGTATTTGCCACAGACCAAGCAGTAGTGTCAGCTTCAGAAGATGATAATGTCTTGCCAAAACAGGTCCAACTTCGCGTCGACCAGGGCCCTCCTCCTGTCGTTCTGAGCCTACCATACACCCTGCATAATGCAGCAGGTGTGTCAGTCTCTGAAGACGATAACGTCTTTCTGGGACAGATCAATTGGCGTGTCTGCTGTCACTGGCCGGAGGTCAATGCCACATACCTAGCAATTCGCTGCGGAAGTGTCAATCTCTGAAGATGATGCCATTGGCTGGGATGAATCCACCTTCCAGGAGCCCTGAATGCAGCTGAATAAGCATCGTCTGCACACCTTCATAAAAAATTGATGTTTCTACACGTCCTGCACTTGCCGAGATGTAGGATGAGGCGCAAGGTCAATCTCACTGAACCGGAGCACCCTCAGCTGACCGAGGTGGAGTCATTCCTCAGTTGCTTGGGGACATAGCAGGCAGGATCCAGTGAGCGTGCCAGATGACAGGTTAACCTACTGTACAGGAAGAAAGCTCCCAGGCCCTGTGGGACGCAACAAAGGTCATCAACCACAGCATCTGCCATAAGCCCAACGAGGAAGAGGACCAGGAGTTCTAGCAGGCTTACCTCAACATTCAGGTTGAGACCGTGTTTTTCCTCAACGCGGGAAAAGACACGCTGTACATTCCCTCTTAGTTGGTAGCGGCCATTCTAGTGGGCCAAAGTTGACCACGAGCTCAAATAAGGTCTTGTGCGCTCTGCCGTCCGAGGGCGAGATCCTCTTTAACAAGGACCTGAAGGAGCGACTTTAGAAGGTGGATGATGCCAAAAAGGCAGAAGTGTGTAAGTCCTGAAACCAACAATGTCCTTCAACTCAGCGACTCTACCACCTTGCTGCTGACATCTGGAAGGACCAAGGTCAGAAGCGACTTTCAAAGAAAATGGCATTGCACATCAGTCAACAGGCTCAAAAGCTGCAGTGACCAGGGCAAGGAGCATGCTAGTTCTTCTGGGGTAAATAGCTTCCACCACGGAGATGGTACCATGGGCAAGACTTCACGTGAGGTGACTTAATTTGGCTCGATTGCATCAATGGGATGCATTTCACAGCAGTCTTGATCAATGGGTTGAACTTTCCCAACGAGCGCTTGAGTATCTAGACTGCTGAGAGCCATGGAGATAACTCGGTGGCCAGACCTTTACTTGAGACTGATGATAGTGCGTGGGTGTGGGGACCACACCTCCAAGACATATACCGTTCCAAGGCAGGTGGCCAAGACACACAAAGGGAAGCATGAATCTCCTGGAGCTTTGAGCAGTGCATCGAGCGCTTTGTCACTTTCGGACTAAGGTCCCACAGAGGTGAATTCTCAAATGCTGTGATAAAGTAACAGCTGTAGTGAGGGTGAATCGACAAGGTTACCCAAAATTTTGCTCACGAATGATGGAGGCTTGGGGGCCCTTGTGTTGTGCGAGATGTGTTATCCATATGTAATAAAAGACTCGGACGCTTCTCTCTGTCCTGTGTCCTTTATTTGGGTTCGATCTCTTTTCCCTCACGGCACTCCCCTATACTCTTCGCTCTGCAGCCCCAGGCTGCTGTCGCTCACGTAGCCCCCTCACGACACTCCCCTATATACTCTTCGCTCTGCAGCCCCAGGCTGCTGTCGCTCACGTAGCCCACTTCCCTCCTAGCAGACCCGCTGCTGTCTCGTCGTGCAGACCCCCGCTGCCCAACTCCGCCCTTGCAGACCCGCTGCTCTCTGCAGCCTCCTTGCTGCTCTTGCTGCCCCGGGGTCGGTCACCGTTGGCCGACGGTGCCGATCCTCGGGGTCCGTGTGTGTGGCGATCTCACCACTCTCTCTCTCTCCGCCCTGCGTGGCCTCACACTTTCCCAGTCTCCGATCACTCCCCTATCCCTTCCGGTTTCTCCCTTTATAGACCTGACCCCTCTCCCCCACGTGACGTAACTCCTCCCCCCATGACGTAACTTCCGGGAGGTCGTTTACGCCCGCATTACACCACCCTCCCCCGTAGAGAAAATCCAGCCGACCTCGGCTGAACACAACTCCAACAAGCAATGCGAGCGAACACGACCGATACGAAAAAAGGACACAGAACACACAATAATATATCGAAAGAACAAGAACACAACACAATAATTAACGAAATGTGAGGGATTTTGAGCGGGTGCGGGTCGCCGGGCCGTCCTGGACGGTCGGCGGCCCTCCCGCCGAGCGGGAACGTGGCAGGGTTTTAAGAGCGACAGGCTGAAGTTCGTCTGTCGCTATTGGAGGCCTGGCAACGTCCCGGTCCCTTAATCTCGAAGGCGCAGCATCAGAGGCGTCCCGCAATCGCGTCCGCAGCGGGGTTGGAAGGGCTGCGGGTCTCAAAGGTTCCGCAGCCGTGTTAGGCGCACCCCGAGCTGAGTCTTCTTTCCCCTGCCGCGTCACGGCCGGCTCGTCTGTAAAAGGCACGACAGGCGCTCTTGCAAGGTCAGCAGGCACAGGCAAAGGCGAGTTGGCAGCAACAGACCCCGGCAAGGCAACCTCAGGAGATGACGCATCAGGTCGAGGGGCCACGTATGGTTTCAACCGAGATGTGTGGACGAACCAACGCCGAGATCCGAACCGAACACGCGCCGACTGTGGGTTGGGAACCTCGATGAGGCGAACCGGCTCTTGCCATGGTTTATGTAGCTTAGGAGAGGTACCTGGCCGCACCTGTGGACAATGAAGCCAGGCCAGGTCCCCCGTTTTCCAGGGGCATTCCCCTTTTGAACGTCGCGCACACCTCTCGTTCCGAGCCTGGGCTTTGGCCGTAGCCATGTGGGCCCCTTCCCGCGCCACAGTGACTCGGCGAACGGTGTCCTGAATATAGTCAGGAAGAGGCTTAGCAGGTCCCCTCGCTCCGGTTCCCAACTGTTCATTAATCGGCGGTACGTTTTCACGACCGTACATAAGAAAAAACGGCGAATATCCTGTAGCCGCGTGCGGCATCATCCGGTACGCAGAAAGCACCCCAGGGATATGCAAATCCCAATCCGATTGTTTTTCACTAACCGTATGGCACAACATGGCGGACAGAGTCCGATTTAGCCGTTCCACCATACCATCCGTTTGTGGGTGGTAGGGAGATGTCCGAATTTTCTTTGTTCCAAGAGCCGCACACACCTCCCCCAACAATTTAGACGAAAAATTCCGGCCTTGGTCTGTAAGGAGCCTCTCCGGCGCCCCCTTGTCCATAACATACCCAAATAGAAAGGCGTCTGTGATAGACGCCGCTGACTGGTCAGGCAAAGGCCAGGCCATCGGCCAGCGGGAGAGATACTCCACCCCTACCAGCAAATATTTATTTCCCCTAGCGGATGGCGGAAAGGGTCCCAAAATATCTAACGCCACCAACTCATTAACTCGAGACACCTGAATAGATTGTATCGGCGGCACATATGGATGTTTAGGTGGCTTACGGCGGGCACAATCGGGACACGCACGAACGTGCCCGACGACATCCGTCGTCATGCCGTGCCAATAATAATCTCGCTGCAGCGTCAATAGGGTCTTCTGCACCCCCAGATGTAAAAGCGTGTCACAATGCAGAGTCCTAATCAATTCGTACCGCAATGATGCCGGTACCACAAGATGCCAGCGTTCCTGTATCCCTTCCCTCCACATCAGCAACCCATCACGGAGAGCGGTTTCCGGCACACCCCCCGCACAAAGACCCCCACTCCCCTTCACAGGCCGCTTACGTAACGTCACTAAAGAATCATCCAACATTTGTTCCCGAATCCACACAGACCTCGGGAGATGTAAAATGCCATCAGCCGGTCCCCCATCAGCCGGCCCCGGCTCAAGCGGAGCTTCAGGCACTTCGACTGCCAGCGCGACAGGCTGAGGGGGGTGCTGAATCGGGCCACACCTATGCGTCCCCGACGCACACGCGCAAGGGGATCGCTGCGGCATCCTGGAAAGTGCGTCCGCATTAGCGTGACGCACTCCCTTCCGATGGTGAATTTGGAATGAAA